CTACCTTAGGGTACCTAAGAAATAATATTCGATATATTTACAAACAAACAACAAAGAACATTTATAAGAAATCATGACTTCAGTTACTTTATTTATCTGGATTTTGCAAAGCCCACAGCTCATGTCTAAAGCAGTTGGCTCATGTCTGAGGCAGCTGGACCACGTGATATCCGGAATTGGGCTGGTATCCCAGGAAGTATTGTGGAGCCCCATGTTGTGGCCTTGTGATAGCTCCAAAAATTGTCCTATGGTTATTCTTCCCAAGCTTTCTCTGTGTTTATCCAAACTTCATTTTGTAAAAAAGAGACAAAGACTAGCTAGTCAAGAATTTTTAATATCTTTCCAACATTCAGTGATGGATGTAATTTAAATCAAGGCATAAAGAAGAACAATCTTTCAACTCATCCTATATTACATTTACAGCACGTGAACCTGACTTTAGAACTTCAGGCAACTTTAACATCTTAAAAGCCTGTGGTGACAGCTTTACTACCGTGGAAACCTTTGCTACATGCTCTTGACTTAGCCCTAACCTGATTGTTTGGTGCCGCAACAGGTTTTGGAGTTCTCTGCTTCTTTATCTCCCCTGAAACTTCTTAGTATCAGGAAATACTTTTCTATTCCACATAATTCGACTTTACAAGTAGAAGGATCACCATCCTGTACGGCGCACGGAAGTCCAAACTCTGAGTTCATGAAGTCTAGCTCTAATCTCACCCTAGCACAATAGAAAACATTTTCAAGTCTTACTTCTTGTTCCTATGAGATCAGTCACTTGATCTGCTTTGGATTTCTCAGGATTCACCTTTATTTGAATCACAAGTAACTAAAGCCCCCCTAAACCTGAATATTAGGTGCCAGTACTATTTATGGTACACGGAGACCCAAAAAGACGATGGCTCCAGCAATGTGGCAGTGTTTTTCCGTGGTAGGCCCTGCTCCATACGGTCATTCGATGTGGCTTTCCTGTCTGGGTCTCCAGTTGTTGCCACTTTCTAACTTGCAGGAAGAGGGAAAGAGAGGACCTCAAAGGCAGCTCTGTCTTATAAGCAGGAGATGCTGACACTGTTCACATCACTGCCCCTCACATTCACAGCATTGTTTTAGTCATGGGGCCTCACCTACAGCAAGAGAGACTGGAGGAGGTGGTCTCTAGTGAGCAGCCACATGTACAGGAAAAGTTCTAAATTACTGGGGGGGGGAAGGGGGGAGCAGATGGTAGGGGGGACATTAGCATCCTGCCTCTTTAAAGAAAACCATGAAGATTTTAACCAAAAGAATTTGTGACAGATTTCCCACAGCTTCCTCCTTAGCAAGTTTTTTAAAAAAGAAAACCTCTCTTCCCTGACCATCTACCTTGTTTTTTTTTAGCATGCAAATGCTTTCTAAGTGAGAGATGTATCTTTTGTGATGCAAACCTTACTGGTTATGTTATTACCCTGGAGCAAGTGTTGAATTTGAGCTCAGAGGTGCCTTTCTAATTCTCATTAGGAATTTGATTCTTTTTTTTTTTTTTTTTTGAGATGGAGCCTCAAGCTGTCCCCCTGGGTAGAGTGCTATGGCATCACGCTCTCAGCAACCTCCAACTCCTGGGCTCAAGCGAGTCTCCTGCCTCAGCCTCCCAAGTAGCTGGGACTACTGGTGTCCGCCACAACGCCTGGCCATTTTTTGGTTGCAGCCATCATTGTTGTTTGGTGGGCCCAGGCTGGGGATTCGAACCCACCACCTTAGGCGTATATGGCTGGCGCCTTAGCCGCTTGAGCCACAGGTGCCGAGCCAGGAATTTGATTCTTGACATTTTTTTTAGAACTTAGGAGAAGCATTGAGGATGACAACAGCCAGAATAATTAGGGGTTGTCCTGTGAAGATGAGTTTGGGAGGGATTGGATTGGAAATATTTCACATGGAAAAGAAAAGAGCAAGAATCTGTCTGCAATCCCAGCACTCTGGGAGGCTGAGGCAGGTGGATTGCTTGATCTTAGGCGTCTGAGACCAACCTGAGCAAGAGTGAGACCCCATCTCTACTAAAAATAGAAAAATTAGCTGGACATCATGATGGGTGTCTGTAGTCCTAGCTACTTGGGAGGCTGAGGCAGGAGGATCGCTTGAGCTGAAGAGTTTGAGGTTGAGCTATGATGACACCATAGTACTCACCCAGCGGAGTGAGACTCTATCTCAAAAAAAAAAAAAAAGAAAGAAAGAAAGAAAAGAAAAGAACAAGAACATGAATCATAAACAAGATTGTTATTTTCTAGTGTTTGAAGAGCTAGCAGGTAAGAGGCGATGTGGCCCTTTTTTTGCCACTCTTCAGAATAGATTTATGAATACAGGATAGAAATTATTATGCTCTGGCTCAGTGCTCGTAGCTCAGTGAGTAAGGTGCCAGCCACATACACCAGGGCTGGTGGGTTGGAACCTGACCTGGACCTGCTAAACAACAGTGGCAACTACAATAAAAATAAATAGCCAGGCGCTGTGGTGGGTGCCTGTAGTCCCAGCTACTTAGGAGGCTGAGGCAAGAGAATCGCTTAAGCCCAAGAGTTTGAGGTTGCTGTGAGCTGTGACACCATGGCACTCTACCGAGGGCGACATAGTGAGACTCTGTCTCAAAAAAAAAAATTATTATGCTTTACATTGAAATAAAAAGTTTTTAGTTGGTTGTCAAAAATCTGATGGGCTGACTTGACTAGTAAACTATCCCTCATCTGATGCCATGTATCTCTAGTTACTGAAGGTTTTCACTCAGGTTTTCAACTTTAAAGGAATTATGAAGTAGTTTATGTGCTTATAGTTCACACAGATCATCTTCTTCATAATGAGAACATCAAATTTATTCTGTGTGTGTCTTGTCTTTCTTGTTCCCTGGGTAGGGTATGTCATCTAAGCATGGTGATATTGTCAGCCGTATTGTTTGCACAGTACTTCATCAGAGATCTTCCAAGGTTTTCAAACACAAAACTTGCGAACTTTCTGTTCTTTAGACTTTGCAGTAGCTGGTCGTCAGGCCCATCTCAGATACTTCATAAAGTTCGGGACTCCTCCCCACTGGAGCTATCTCGCTCCATCTTTGGAAGCCTCATGGGACATCATGCATGATTTTCTTGTATCTGTATCGCTTATTTTCTCTTTGAAGGAAGTACCGGAGTATTAATCTCATCCCCCAACCTCTTTACTCCTTAAGTGGAAGGACTGCCTTCTTCAACCTTGCACCTCCTGCCCTGATTAGGACAGAGTCTTTCCTCAGCAGGTGCCCAATAAACACATCCTGATTTGGGATTGAGTAATTCTAGGCTCACAGGGGCTAGATTCAGAATTGGCTTTTCTAAGCATCCATCCTTTCTGCTTGTATTTACTCATGAAATGGTATATTTCTTCTGTCTTCCTGTTCTAAATCTGTAACCTGAGGGGCTGCATGAGTTGGCCTCTAGGCTCCCTTCCAGCTCTGATTCACTCCAATTCCCAGCTCTGAGCCCCGACAGTGGCGGCCTGTGGAGGAGCCTCTTCCCCAGATGCTGCCCAGGAGGGCACCATACTAACACCCAGCTTGGCCCTGTCAGGCCATGGGGGTGGAAGAGCCGCGAGGCCCAGTGAAGGCCGTGCTGCTGCTTCCCTAGGTATGTGTGCATCGCCATGGAGGCCCTGGACCAGCTGCTCATGGCCTGCCACTGCCAGAGCATCAACCTCTTCGTAGAGAGTTTCCTCAAGATGGTGGCCAAGCTGCTGGAGTCAGAGAAGCCCAACCTTCAGATCCTCGGCACCAACTCGGTAAGGAGCCCCGGGGGCTCTGGGTCCCCCCACCGGGATCCTGTGGGTGGGGGTGCAGGCGTGGGAGAGCTCTCGGTCAGCGTTTGTTGTGTTCTGTTCCTGGGCAGTTTCCAACCCTAACTAAAAGATGATGCGTGTTTTAGTGCCCGCCTTTGTGTGAATAAAGGAATATTCCATTTCCTAATTTAAATAAATAATATATAAGTTGTATGTTGTGCCTCATATAAATAGATAATAAAATGAAAGTTGCCATTTTAGAGCATATGGTTTATTTATGTTTTTATAGAGCATATGATTTAAAAACCTAATGGATTTAGTATATTTACAATGTCGTGTAACCAGCAACACTATCTAATGTTTAGAAAGATCATCGTTAGACTGATCATCTTCAGACTTGACTGATGATGTTCAAACTTTTTTACTAATCAGTTTTCCCCTTAAATGATTTTAAGTGGGGCTTCAATAAATATAAAAAGAGATTGAAACAGAGGTATTCCTTTGAGAGCAGGGGGTACCTAGGGCCTTTACAACTCAGCGCTCCATGGGGCAGTCTTTGAAAGCTGGTACTGGGTAGCCCTCTTTCAAAGGTAGAGTAAACTGATGTCCACAGGACAAGGGCAGCAGGTCAGTGGAAACACAACGGGGAAGCAGGAACCAGGGCTTCTGGCTCAGTTCTGCACTTCCCTCGCTGTGTAACCCTGAGCACGTTACCTTTCACAGGCCTCCATCTTTTCATCCATACCATGAGCAGGTTGAATTTGGTCTCTGTAATGCTGGTCTCAGTACAAATGCCTGCAACCGTGAGCGGTTATATTTTGTGAAAGAAGAGCTATCAGATATGTCAAGAACTTCCGGCACCACATGTGTATCTACATAGGAATGTCCTGTTTGCTTTCTCTAATTTCTTGCCTTCTCTCCCACTCCCTCCCTTTCCAAGCAGCTTAGATGCACAGATCTTAGGGGAAGGCTTTAACTATCTGCATATATCACAAAAGAAAAGTTGAAAGCCTGCCTCTTGGCATTCCCAACCTGAACTTTTATTGCACAGGTTACTTTGGTTTCCTGTTCTACCTAAGTTGATTTAATCAGAGGAGTGTCTTCCAACTTCTCTTTTGAGGACCAAGAAGACCAGCCCGTTCCCCTCTCTGTCCTCTCCCTGTGAGCCAGCTGCCTTTGACAAATTGCACACACCCTGGGGCTGGGGGTGGGGAGCCCTCTGTCAGGTTGCCCTGGCAACAGCTTCAGATACTGTTTTAGTTGTCCTGTTTGAGATAACTACAGTCTAGAAGAGAACATCTGAATGAAAAATAAACCAGTCATCATGTATCTGTGGGGGCCACAGAAGCAGGTGGCTGCCAGCTTTAGCTCTCTCCACAGCAAATCCTAGCCAGGGGTAGGTGTTTTGTTAGCTATAGTCTCAAAGATTCAGTGTCCTGCAATTCCTCATCAGAGTGAATCATTACATCAGCCACAGAGCAAATCAACTGGTGACTGCTCTGCTACAGACGATGAAGGCCAGACAAGGACAGGCCATCATGAGCAAGTTCAGTCAAAGCCTAGCAGAAGATTCAGAGTCTGGCCTCAGAGGCAGCCTTTCCTAGCACTGCCCCTCATCTGGGTGCCCATCCCAGCTCCCTAAGCCCCAGACCTTCTTGAACCTTCTTGAGGGATGTGTTCTTTTGCTCTTCATCGTTTCAGACTGGCTAGACTTGACGCCATCTCTGCAAGTCTAGCCTGGGAGTTCCAAGCTGATCTTTACAGGGACTTGGGGCTTTGCAGGGACAAAGGGGGGCTTGGGGGAAGAGAAACAGAAGGCTCTGGGTTTTTTATTCCTGCTTTATCCAGAAGCCAGCTCCTGTGTACAGTTTGGGTGGAAATTGGCAGCATTTTATTTGGATAAAAGTTTTGCTGCCAGGAAATTGAAAGAAAGAGAAGGAGAGAAAGAAAGAAAAAGGGGAAAGAAAGAGAAGATGAGAATCCTCATTTGCTGGATTTCTGTACCTGGAAATAGAGGCTATGAGAAGTGCAGTAACTTGTCTGTGCCTGCACAGCCTGGGCACTAGCTTCAGGCAGTGATTCATTCAGCCCCTGGATGTCTCGTTCTCCCTGGAATCTGACAGTTAGCAAGTTCAGAGGCCTTTCTGGGCCACACCCACTGTGTGGTCCTCTCCCTGGATCCCACCGTGGCACCCAGCCTCTGTACAGATGCCCTCTGCAAGCAGGCTCTATCATAGGCACCCACAGCACAGCCTCAGGGGTGAGAAGATAAAAAAAAAAAACCTCACCCCGAGCCACCTCTCCCTCCCAGCAACTTTCTCCTCTGACCTGGTTTTGCTCTTTGAATCAGCTCAGAATAAATCTCTCTTCTGCAGAGTGTCTCTTCAGAAGCCCTACCCCCTCCGAGGTCCCCCAAACTAACAATGATAAAGTCCCCCAAAGAGCTTTGGAAATTCACAAATTCCCAGGTCTCAACCAGACCCCCGATCAGCATTTCTGGATGGGGGACCTGGGAGTCTGTAAGTTTCATTTCCCATGTGATGCTGAGCCAGGTTTGGGAACCACTGACCTACTATAGTGTTGTGTTTTGGGGTGTTCTTTCTTTCTTTCTTTCAAGATGGGGTCTTGCTATGTTGCCCTGGATGATCTTGTGGTCTTGAACTCCTGACCTCAAGCAATCTGTCCCTTCAGCTCCCAAAGCACTGGGACTCTAAGTATCAGCCACCGTGCCCAGCCCCCACTCCAGTCTTAACCTGCACAGGATTCCTTCCTTTTTTCCCTCCCTCCACTTCTCACAAAATCCAGATTTGTTAATATCACTCCTACACATTATATGCAGCAAAGTATAATTTTAATAATGTCAGTGATGTTTTCAAGCCCTTTATGAGAATACCTCAGCTCTGGATGATAAAGAGGGACTGGAAAATCCAGGAGAAGGTGGGAGCCAGGGCCAGCTAAACGCACGTATTGCTCAGAATTCATTTTCTGTACACCTGCCTCATTGCATGCTGGGTCCACATGTGGGGCTTGGGAACCATGTAAGTGACCATGTGTCCTGACATTTCAAGGGAATGCGCTAATGATAAACTGAAAATATTCAATTTGATGGCTCCAAGGTCCTTCGCGTAAGTGATGTAATGTATTAGCCTACTATATTTAAGTAGTAAAGTAGGATGAAGATTCATAGATTTCAAGTTTGTACTTCTACCCCTACCTCATACCATATGTAAAAGTTAACTCAAAAGTGTCAAAGGCCTAAATGTAGAAGCTAAAACTATAAAATTCTTTATCGGGTTAAATCATTATGATCCTGGATTTGGCAATGAATTCTTATATGACATCAAAGGAAAAGCAACTAAAGAAAAAATACAGATAAATTTAAAACTTTGTACATCCACAGGCATGATGAAGAAAGTAGAAAGACAACCCAAAGAGTGGGAGAAAATATTTACAAATCATATAACTGGTAACGGCCCAGTAACCAGAATATATAAAGAATTCTTACAACTCAACAGCAAAAAGACAACCCAACTAAAATACGGGCAAAGGACTTGAATAGACAGTTCTCAAAAAAAGAGATACAAATGGCCAATAAGCACATGAAAAGGTGGTTAAGATCACACTGATCATTAAGGAAAGACAAATCAAAAGCACAGTGAGTGAGATATCACCCACAAGGATGGCTATTAGAAACACACTCTCGCATCAGAAGATGCCTAGTGTCAGCAAGGATGAGTAGAAACTAGAACTCATGTACTTCGTTGGCAGAAATGTAAAATGGTGCCCCTCCTATGGAAAATAGTTTGGTGGTTCCTCAAACAGTTAAAAAAAAATTTTTTTTTTAGACAGAGTCTTATTTTGTTATCCTCTATAGAGAGCTATGGCATCACAGCTCACAGCAACCTCAAAATATTAGGCTCAAGCAATTATTTTGCCTCAGCCTCCTGAGTAGCTGGGACTACAGGCACCCACTGCAACACTTGGCTATTTTTAGAGATGGGTCTCACTTTTGCTCAGGCTGGTCTCGAACTCCTGGGCTCAGGCAATCCACTGCCTCAGCCTCCCAGAGTTCTAGAATTATAGGCATGAGCCACCCTGCCTGGCCTATAGGGTTAAATATTTAGAATTGTCATATGACCTAGTAATTCCTCAAATACTTATACACAGATGTTCATAGCAGTACTCTTCATCATTGCCAAAAGGCAGAAATAACCCAAAAGATCACATATTCTATGATTCTACTTATATGGAATATTCTGAATAGATGAATCTATGGAGAGATAGTAGATTGGTATTTGCTAAGAGCAAGGGCAGAAAGGAATGGAGAGTGACTCTATGGATATAGGGTTTCCTTTTGGGACGATGAAAATGTTTTGGTTGCAAAGCATTGTGAATGTATTAAATGCCACTGAACTGGGCTCTTTAAAATGGTTAATTTGTTGCCACGTGAAGTTTACCTCAAATTGACCCAAAGTCAATGGCATATAAGCATTTGTGGTTT